TCTCTCCCTATATCTCTTATATAATATATGAGTGAAATATTTATATTAATTCAATTATCTATCTATCTATCTATCTATCTATCTATCTATCTATCTATCTATCTATATATATATATATGTAGGTGTGTGTGTGTGTGTATGTGTGTATATATATACACACACACACACACACACACACATATATATATATATATATATATATATATATATATATATATATATATATATATATATATATATATAATATATGTATATACATACACATACATATACGTATATAAATATACATATAAATGTGCATATAGTCACACACACACAATATGGAGACGTTTGTCTGTTCTTTAAGTGTTTTTACTATTTTCATGTTTTAGTCTTTTTTTTATCAATTGTAAATTTATTTCTAAAATAATCAGTTTTGGCTCCAAAGTGATTTGACATTTCTCTTTTTTTTGTTTATACTTTGCCCAGAGTGTCATTTTTGAGAGCTTTATGAGCGCTATTTCTATCTGTTATTGCTCTCTTGATGTCGTTCTTTATTCATGGAGCAGGAGGACGTCTAATAGTTTTTGTAACAAATAGAGCGATGGCGTTTATGCTGTCATTAATCACTTCCGTAAGACCATTTACTTGTTTGCCTGCATTATCTGTTTGCAAACTTTCTAAAAGAGTTGATTCTTTGTCAATCATATGTTGCCATAATGACTGAGAGTCGTAGTTGGTTAATGCACGGAAACTTTTTGACAGGTGATTGTTTCGATTTCTTTAAAATTAAGCTTCACCGTTATGAGTTCGTGATCGGTAACACGCCATGGGATGACGTTTGTGTTGAGAATGATGTCAGATTTGTTTGTTCTTATTCCATAAATTAATGGCGTGAAGTGTTTTTTTTTTTGTGACCCTTGTTTGTTGCCTTTTTTGCTCTAATTTGTTTTTCCTAATTATATTAAAAAAACATCTTCATTAGGCTTGTTTAAATTATAATTTAAATCACTCAGGATGAAAAGAGGTTTCTTTTTGAGTAACATTTCTCTGAAGACTTTTTCCATATAATCGAAAGATTCAGAGGAACCATGGGGATGCCTATAGGCTGCGTCTACAATGAATGCCGGAAGCATATTGCAATGTGCGGTAACCCAAATATCCTCTACATCTGCACTCTGCAAATGAAGCGAACATCTCATTTGTTTTGAAAGTATCTCGTGCATGTTTGCAGACTCCCCCCCACGTCCTGCATCGCATCTAAACATTGAAAATCGGTCTTTTGATGAAAGCACTCGACATATCTTACACATAATATATCAAGATTTCTATTCATTATGAGCATTTCAATGTCATCAAAATGTCCAAGGAAAGATTACAAAGTTACCAAGGTTCAAGGGTCAAAACTGCGGTTATATCCGAGATGGAGTGACACTCAGAAAACAATTCGACAGCAAAAATTCGTTCAGAAATGAAATTTTGAATAAAGCAACGCAAGTTTCCACGTAATCCAAAAGCATAAAGTTTTCTGAGTAGGCCATGTCACCATGTCATGTCGTAGGCTTTTTCTATATCTAAAATTATTGAAATAGAAAAATCCTTTTTGGCAATTGCCTCTTGAATATGACTGTCCAGTTTTAATATATGATCGAGAGTTTGGCTTCCCTTTCGGAAGCCGCACTGCTCGTCAGCTAGTGAATTACTGGAATTTAAGAAATGCAATAGCCCACTGTTAACAATTCGTTCCATGACCTTGCATAAGCAACTTGTCAGCGCAATTGGACGGTAGGAGATGGCGGATCTGGGATTACCCTCTCCTTTCAATATGGGAATGATGTGGGCGAAGTGTTATGAGTTTGCTTGGCTTTTCCAAATTTCATTGTACACGTCTAGCAACATAATCATGGCATCATGATTAAAATGCTTAATCATCTCATATCGAATCTGATCGGGGCCTGGGGATGTTCCTCTACAGTCTTCTAGGGCTCGGACAAGCTCATCCATTGTAATTAAAGTCATCTCCTGTAGCAAAGTGAATAGGTTGCAGCTCAGCCGCTTCCTTGATAGGCAGGAATGCGGGATGGTAATTGTCTGGGCTGCCTGTATGAGAAAATTACCTGACGAGTGCATTAGCAATGTCTGTTGGTGAATCTATCTTAATACCCTCGTGAATGATGTTTTTAATTTTGATGTTTTAATGTTTTTTTCTTATTTATTTTATTGACAGTGGACCAAGCCTCTGATATTTTTGTATTGCTATTTAATGTAGAGACTAAGCTCCGCCAGGAGTCTCTCCTAGCTTGTCTTATTATTCTACAAGCCTTAGCTCTTGCTTGTGTGTAATTCCAAAGTTCCCGTTGTTAATTTTATTTTTGAAAAGCATGTAGGCGCTATTGCGTTGGCACAGCGCCCTGTGGCAATCTGGTGTCCACTATGGAACTAACTCTATTCTTAACGCTATCTGTCGAAGTTTTGGGAATGGGTATCATTGCTGTATCTAAAATCGAACTCTAAAGATTTCTAACTTTATCACCAATGGTTTCTCCAACAAGTTCGATCTTGACGCTTCTTGTGAAGGCGACCCAGTCTGCTCTTTTTACGTTAAATTTAGGTGTTGAAGGCGTTCTTACTGTGTCGCATGAATATCCAATCAAAATAGCTTCCCTACAAGTCGTCAATGGAAGGTAGTGGGTGATTGGAGTGTCTGGAATAGTGGTGAAGATGGGGGTCTCTGAATTTAGAGCAGTAGGGGATAGAAGTGGGATGAGGAAGAGATGCATGGGGAGATGTAGAGACACCGTGGGAGGAAAGGGGAAAGGTAGAACAATTGCTGGAGTAGGGAGTGAGAGAGAACCCCGTGGACGTGGTCCCTGTGTGGCTTGACATAAAGTGACGCCAAGTCTGAATCTGAGACTTGACCGTTGAGATTTGAAGCTGTAGGTAGGGAAGCCCCTATGAAACAGGAAGCCCCTATTTCCTAGGGGCTGCCCTACCTACATGTGGGAGCCGCCACGATTGGCACACGTGCGTGACTGTGCAGAGCAGTTTGACAACGGGCATGTGATTGCGGAGGTGTGATATCTTGAAATTTTATCTCAAGAAAGTTTAGTACACGTTATCGTACATTTGACAAGGCGTGGGTTGCAATAAGTTGCCAGACGTATTACGTAAAGGATATTTAAATACAGGGTTGATGCATGTACAGTCACTGGACAAAAAGTTTGATCGAGCAAGGAACACACGCTTCTTTGAGGTTGGTCTCTTTTTGTCTTTGTGTCTGTCTCACTCTCTTTCTCTCTCCCCCCCCCCCTCTCTTTTTCTCTCTAATCGGTTTACTTGCACTTAAGCTAATTTAAAATGCTTCTCGCTCTGTATTACGTCCAGAACCGTAGTCTAATACAAATATATTTACAGAGGAATGTCACTGTGCGTTTTTTTCCAGTTATCACTAAAGGGAGGGGGTAACGTGAGGAATATTTAAATCGCTTGCATTCCATAATAAAGGTAGGGTTGTCACAGTAGTCATGTGGTTGAATGATATGCTTTTCTCAGATAGAGAGGTAGATGAATGGTGCCTGGCTGATAGCTTTCCCCAGGTGGACAGGTAGATGGCTGGTGCCTGACTAATAGCATTCCCCAGGTGGACAGGTAGATGAATGGCAGATGACTGATAGCTTTCCCCAGGTGGACAGGTAGTTGGCTGGTGCCTGACTAATAGCATTCCCCAGGTGGACAGGTAGATGGCTGGTGCCTGACTAATAGCATTCCCCAGGTGGACAGGTAGATGAATGGCAGATGACTGATAGCTTTCCCCAGGTGGACAGGTAGATGGCTGGTGCCTGA